GCCGCGCTGCCGGGAGCGCTCGGCAGCCACCGCCGCCCTACGGCCTCGGCGCGGCCATCGCCAGCCTGCCAAAAAGCAGCAAGCTGCAAGTCTTCTCTGCCGAGTACGAGATTTCCATCGTGTCACAGTGCTAAGCGTGGCAAGAAAAGGAACAATTTTTAATGCGAATTCTTTCAGACTTTTGTTTACGTCTTTGGCCAAAGCCCCCGAAAGCAAATAGTTTGCGTGTTTTAAAAGGTGGCAGAGTAGTTTTTTAACTTCTGGCACTTTTATCAGTATATTTACACTCTGCCCTTGAACAGCATTTGTTAAAATTACCAAGCACTGTAGTATTTTTCCGATTACCTAAGATCAACAGCCTCATTAGTAGCTGGTTTAATCCCTCAAACCTCTGAATATCTGGAGACATTTTAGAGATACATGTGAACTGTGTACCTTGGTCTTCATTTACTTGATGCAGCAGAGAAAACCAGAGCGCTCACAGCATTTGGGAGGAACCAAGGAATGCACTGCCCCTCTTTACTAAGGCTCACTAGCATACAGATTTTTGACCTTGTATAATACAGGTGAAGAAGCTACTCAGCTACTGTACAGATCTACAGTTATCTGTCCATGAGGTATAGCCCAAGAATAGGAAGAAAATGTCTAAAAATTTTTTGACAATTCTATGTACTAGAATTTGAAGAAAACGTGTGAGCTGTTCTCTGAGCCATGTTTCTTTTGAGTGTGGCTGAATGTTACTGAGATATAAATTGGCTGCAGCAGGCCAGCAAACATTTTTTTCCTGTAGTCTGCTGAAGCAGCATTGTGTACTTTTTTGACTCCTTTTTCTTGAGGCTACTCCCATTTCAATGGCATCTCAGAGTCTTGTAATATTGTTATTTGTGTTCAAGGTCTACAAGCCTAAAGTTTCTAAGGGATCAGATCTGGTACAGGACTGAAGAAAGGTGACCTCTTAGATCCCTGGTTTTGGGCCTGGGATTTTCAATATGAATTGGATGCCTAAATTGCAAGTATAGGTAACAGGGGAGGTGGCTGGAGTTGGTAATCAAAACTACACAGTAAGTGGGAAGGTGCCTGAATTTTAACTGGTATGAAGCACAGGTACCTTTTGCCAGCTCACATCCTGCAGGATGCTCAGGCTAAACAGGACTCAGAAGAGGCTTAAAGTCATCCCACTGGATGCAGGTGATAAAATCATGCATTTATTTTCAAAGCAGTCTCTGGTAATAGCGTTTTTATGTAACATTTCTCTACTTGCCTGAGAGAACTTGGGAAGTGGGAAAGCTGGGGCTGTTAAGGAATGCCCAGGCTGCCACTGGGACACTGCTGAGGCTGTCCAACTGTGAAAAAAAGCAGCTGAAGATTTGGAGATGAGGAATGTGTGGGAACAGGCTTAATAGTTCAGGCCCTGCAATCCACTGGTGAGAACACTTAGCAAGGAATGGGGAGTGCAGTTTCAGTCCCCAGTATCTGTGCACATCTGTCATTTGATGCCTCACTGAATGCACAATGGTTATTAAATCTATCACAATTAAGATCTACTGCTCCAGCTTGTCCATGGTTTTCCCATTATTTTATTTTCTCTTTCACAAACAGGATTGTGTCTGTGGTGCCTTGCTAAGAAAATGCTGTGGATGTGTGTTGATGTTCACTGAGCATGCCTGTGAGCTTGGGTCCCCTGGGGAATGTAAGAGGCAGGAGCCTGGTTTGTAAATCTCTGGAGGGTGGTAGGCGCTGAGAAGCACAGCTTAGACAAGGCAGTTTCTGGGAATGCACAGAACTACAATATTAGGCTGGCAAGTATAAAAATAAGATGGTTTCTACAGTGGTTGTGATTTTTTGGGATTTTTATAAAAATTCAGTCTAAATTTTACAGCAGTCTATTGAGTTCACAAAGCCTCAGAAATATTCAGAACCAATTTTCTGACTGTCCTTACACTTATATTTTTTTACCAGCACTTTTATTTCCTTTTCTTTGTTCCCTTATGCAGTTTCTCATGTGGGTGTGAGAACTATGTAATGTGTTCCCCTGCCATATGGAGCAAAAGTCTTGAAATTATCTGTCTTCTGTATTAAATCTCAGCTGAAAAACACAATTTGTTGTGTTTTCTGACTTCTTCAGAGGCAGTGTTGCTTCTCATCAGTTTTCTAACAACACCAGTTTTGTAGTGGGGGGTTACAATTTGCCTCAGAAATAACAAGAAACAAAGTCTGCAGGAATCTCATTCACATGAGAGCTTTGCTCTGCCTGTGCCTGGATGTGATGAGGGTGCTCAGTGAAGCTGGTGTCAGAGCTACACCCAGTCCCTCAAACAGCCCTGAAAGGAGCATTGCACCGAGAAAAGCAGATGGATGCTCTGCTCTGACAGTGAGTGGGTGGTGACTCCAGAGAGACAATACTGCAGAGAAGTGGTGGCCTTGTAGCTGTCTCATTTGGTGTCCAGTTCCAAGACATCTGTTAATTTAACATTGGCTGTGAGAGCTGTCGGAGCAAATGGCTTGGAAATGAAGTGCTATAGGGGGAAAAACCTAATGCCATATAACACTTCTCATTAAAAAAAAAATATTCTTAAACCCCTTCCATCCCCTCTCCCTTTGCAGCTACAAGATGCTCTGTCATTGTCAGTGACTCCCATGCACAGGGTGATTAATCACCACTTTAGGCTGGCAGTTTATAGCTCATAAATACTTGGGTGTGTCAAACTGTAATGGATCCCTTAGGAATGACAGTACTGTTTGGACAGTGGCTGAACACATCCCTCTGAATTCCCATCCCTTCAGCATAGAAAATGGATTTTAATGGTCACAAACAGATGGTGCCCATGAAAGGGAGAAAAAAACTCCAGATTATAGTTTATGTCAAACAGGGTAGTGAAAATATCCTGCTATATTTAAAGCTCTATTTTATTAGAAACAATAATTTAGCTTCAAGCAGTTGTGGTACAAAAAAAAAACCTCCTCAATATTACTATTAGCAATAAGTGGGTCTCAAAAGACACAGCAGTTCTGTTTAAATTAAGTAGGAGAATCTAAATTCTAAAAGTAGGGTTCTATTTTTTCCCTAAGTCATCAGTCAGGGAGCAGAAACAGTTGAAGTGTCCTACAACCCAGAAGAATATCATTAACAACACCTTAAGTTTTTGAGTTTTATCTAAGTCAGCTGGAAATCTAGTTATTTCCATTTATTGCAAAATCAGGAAAAAAGTATCCATGTTTGGTCACCCTGAAATAATTATTTCAAGCAGGATACTGGACTGCAAAATCCTAGCAATTTTGGTTCAATTGCTTGTTCAAGCCTCGAGAGAGCACATAAACATTCATTAATGCACAGTTTAAGTGTAATACAATGATAAATACAAGGCCTATTACTGACTGAGGCTCAGATACACAGGATTGAAATTTCATTGTAGA